TTTCAGTAGTAGGCCCAAGTCCCGTTTAGATCTCAGTGGAGATTGGATAGCGATTCAAAACGACGATAAAATGTTCACGATTCGGTAGACGTTTGTAAAATTAGCGCACGGAACTGTTACGCGGCGATTTACTGCGCAATAAATTAATATAATGCACTCGTTGTTCCCATGGTTATGAGATCTTTAGTTCACCATCCCTGGATTCTCTGGTCGTACGGTACAGCCAACAAGTCACGCCTTTAAATGTCATTACCGTGAAACAGCCCCGTGAAATCTCATCGTAAAACGCTTTGTTTTGCATAAGCACGTGTTGTCGGCGCCGGAGACGGTTCCCGGAAACTTTGTTTCTGATCTCTACCGAGCTGAACGTTTTGCACATTGTAAAATGCCATTTCTCTCAAGTTGGAAATTATGGCGGCCGCTTGACAGATTTTGTGATAAAATTATTTCGGAAAAACATGATAATCGAGCAACTTATATGTTTGCATAAATTAGAGATAATGTCGGTGTTATCATTTACTTGACTTACTAAATTTGTGGTTTTTGATGTTTCGTTTAGATTTAATCGCTGTTTTTGCTGAGCTACGTACGTGCTTCGTAAGGTCTTTTATATTATCTCCTTTCTTCCTACTAGCGAATACTTATTGTGTTATGTGTCAAATTTATGACAACGGCATCCCAGTTAGGTTGCTGGGGTCAGCGTGGAGAGGTTCTCTGAATATTAATACAAGCCTTTTATTGCTATTTACTAGAGATGTCAAACTTAGTTTTACTTACAGAGTTTTATATTTTTTTAGAACTTGAATTTTTAGATAGCTATATGTTACAAACATTAAAATATTTCGATTCTATTTTTACTATTTTCAATTTCTATTCGCCATTATTTTTGAATCTATTATTTATATAACTAAATTTTCTTCAGATAAATCGATGTAACTATGAAATATTTGCTCCCATAAACTTGGTCCTATGATCCGAATCGCCATTCACAATTGACTTAAGTATAGAGTAGACCTTTACCTTGGTTCTTAGAAAATAAGAGCAGGCTAGCACCAAGTAGGAGGGATAACATCTTTTATTGAAATACCTAACAAAAATATTAATATATTTTCTTTAATCTATATTATGCATTATTAATTTTTCATCTTTCTCATTTTCGTAATCTGTAGCTACACAACCTTTTTGACTAAAATGTTAATGAAATACGTTTTAGTATGCGAACTCCAATCTGGAAATGGGATTCCCAAGGAACTAGGTCAAGAGCTCTTGTGAATTACACTTAAATTATAAACCCTATTTGCATTTTGCAATATATCTTTTCTTTCTTATAAATTCATACGATCGGTACCTACTTACATTCAAAATATAAATTAAAACATTTATATGCGTACTTCAATAATTCAGTAGGCCTTCTCCAACTACAGTTTTCCTTTGAAAGAAATATTTGTTATTTAATAGATTATGTGATTAAGGTACACTGCTGTATTTGATGGGACCGATTTTTTGACCGCAAGAGTAGTGCTTTACGAGTATATGTTGTTTTTTTTCTACAAGCTAACTACGTCATTAGTTGAAATCGGCATGGTTTAAAGTTAAGCAGAAGCGATGTAAGCGATGAAAAAATCGCCCACAGAAATAAAACTTATCAGGTTGTTTCCCTATATGGTATGTTTTAATTAACAAATAAATCTTTTCAGCTTAGACATTTACTTTGTACAACTAAAATAGTCGAAAGCTTTAGATACAACGAACGCGTAATTTGATTACTGGAACGTCACCGTAAAATACCTTTCTACCAATTAAAACGTCTTACAAACATTGATGAAAGAAGATAGTGGATGTAGTGTGGATGTGGTAATCATTGCTATTCCACACACTCGTTTGTTAGCCTCATCTGTGGGCTAGATCGGTGGGTTCTGTACCTCGTTAGCTGTGACCGTGTATCGTTTAACCTATCTAACCTCACCTTCGTACATCCATGTCCTTATGGTGTTTCTTTGGCTCTCATACATTTGAATACAATAACGGTTATTAGAATAGCAATATCTTTAAGTTACGATCGGAGATTTATTTGATGTATTAAGGCCATACGGAGCTATCTTTTTATTGTTTGATGGTCAAAGGTTAGATGTGACCAGCCTATGTCTTGTACATCAAAACGTAACTCACGTAACTCATGTATGTACAATTATAATTATTATTCGATATCGAAATCATCAGTCGCGGTGGCCCGGAGGTTAAAGCGCCCGCTTCTCGTGGGACGCGACCGGAGTCGCGATCAAAAACTAGTAAGAAATAAAGCCCTTATTGTATTAAATATACAGTATATTATTCGGTGATGTAATATTCTCAGTCACCCGTCCATCCTGTGCCAGTATGTCATCCTCCAAAAATCTGTAGCCATTAAAGTCTCATTACTTTAAAGTACGCTTTTTACGTACATAGCAAAAAATCCTTTCCTTAATACCTACTATAGAACACAATTACATTAGTTTTTGTCCCATACTTGTACCTGTACTTGCCGGTTGAAGAAAAAAATATGCAACTTGATCATTACTTGGACGATTATTGAAATTAAGTGAGCCACCCAAGTTTGGTAAGGTCATAGGTGGCTGAGTTCGATATACATAACAATAAATGATAAGTCAATTTGTAAAGTGTTATTATTATGGAAAATTGCCATGTGTCGTTTGCTTTAAATTTTTTGATTTACATTAAGTTCTGATGATGTCATGTTTCCTTAAATCATAATGGACCGTTTAGAAGTCAATGGTTGATACGGGTTGTCAGATAATAATGAAAAAATATAAGACAAGTATTATTGTCGTCAACAAAAACCATACTTACCTTGAATAAATTAAAGTTCAGGATTGGCAGTAAAAGTATTGGGAGTAAGTCAAAGTAAAGCCACGCGATAATTTAAGTCAATTTACCATAGACGTTTTTTGTTCACGACCTAAAATAAAAAATACGTTTTAAAAAATACTTTAAAATAGTCTTCATCTCGATTAGTCAAACTAATACTAGTTGCAGTACCTATCTCTGACTAACTTTAACTTTGAATTGGTGAACTAACCGGTGACGCTGTGAGATTTAACCCAATTTTATTAGATTAGATTCTTTCCAAAACTCTTTCACCGATAGATAGCTACAATGTTCCTCAATATAAGCTATAATTTTAATTAATTTGTGTATTTTTACTTGATGGTAAACAATCAGCACACCCGCAACAACAGAGGAGTTACGAGTGCGTTGCCAACCTTTTTGGGGGTTAGGGATTTGGGAGATTTGGGGATTAGGGAGAGGAAGGATGGGCCTCCGGTAACCTCACTCACACGGCGAAACACAACTCTTTGGTTATTTCACGCCGGTTTTCTGTGAGGCCGTGGTATCACTCCGTCGAGCCGACCCATTCGTTCCGAAGCATGACCTTCCACACTTAAACTGATATTAAAATCCCGGGATACATTACGTATCTACCTTTATACGAGTGCAAAACCTTGGGCGAAAGCTAGTTATCTATAAATCCACGTCGAAATCAGCCAGTACCTATTTTGAAATATTATCTACCATCTATAAACACGTGCAAATGTGATCTGCACTAAACTTAAGTTGCAATAAGGCTTAAGACCACAGATAATGTATTTGCCATCTGTCAGTGAAATATTTGTTAATGTCATTAACCGTTAATAGTATAATCTTAGCTTACGTCTCTGTTATTCAAATTAAGAACTCGATGTTTATTTTTGTTTTTTTTTAGAGATAGAACAACTCATATTTTTATATGCAGTTTGTGTGTCTATGTTAGTAGGTATATTATATGAGTCTTACCATAAAGTAAGTATTTACTATTGTTTTAATTTTCGTAGTATCAATAATAGTGTAGGGTAACAACTCTATAATTGAGTTGGTTTTGCCTGGTAACCTGTACTATAGCTGCAGAGGTTATTTGTTTGTTTTTTACCTTTTTCGGATTTAATAATTATTTTTTTTTTGGATAGTCCATCTATCGAGGAAAGCTATACTACGGATATATAGGTTATTTATAACACGTTGCGCTACAACCAGAAGGTGCCGCGAGTGAAACCGCGTGGTAATAGCTATACTATTTAATTAAATATCTCTATCACATCAACAGCCCATATATTATGCCTTTACTCAGTAATAGGCACTGCTGTGTGCACTCTTCTTACACATAGAAGGTATTCAAATCACATGCACAAAGTATTTATCACCGCGATTGCTCAAGGCAGATTGGTAATTTCAAGCTTTTTTCCTCACAATGTTTTCCTTCACTGGTTATCAATGATGCCCAAATAAACTTAAAAAGGCGATGTAACTCGTAGAAATTGTATTGGTACTTATAAAACGTTGGTATTCGTAACCTTATCCTCTTCAAGCCCAAGCACAAACTACACAATATTTTTTTTTACAACAAATACCTAAGTATATACTTTTCTTAAATTATTATTTGAAAAACTAATTCAATAAGCGCTAGATTAATTCACGAATTTTCTCGTATATTTTCTGCGTAGATATTCTTGCTTCTAAAGAATCTTTTTTCTCAATAAACCGTCTATAAAATGTGTTCAGACAGGTAATTGTAGTGATTAGCGCGTTTATAGACTATTCAAACTACAGGATAATAATATACATAGTTTGAATTGAATAGAGGCAAAGGAAGTGAACCAATTCTTTAGTGTCGGGATCGAGAGAACATCTGTACTCTTGTTAAAGTGACGCCTTTATATAGAGTTAATTGTACTATATAGTTTCATGTTCTAATTAGCAATAAAGTGAACATAGCTATTAGTTGTCTATAGTTCCAGAAAACAATGAAGCAAAACTTTTTATTGGAAAATACTCGAAATATTTAACTGACTATAGAAAAGTTTGTTAGTATCTGTAGTTTTGGTATTGCAAAGAGATATGAATGATTTGATTTTTTTTCATTATATATTATAAGTATACATTCAATGCCTTTTTTTGGAAGAGCGAACTTAAATGAACTTCTTTTGCTGACCAAAAACTACTCTGTCGCTTCTGCTGCTCCGAGCGGGTACCGAGGTACATTGCTGACGCTGGCACCCACAAACCTGGCTGGAAAAATAGCTGAAGTAAAAAAATAAATATACCCATATAAATTGATTATACCTTATTCAAGGTACGTGACTCGATGATGACGTCTAACAACAGTAAGAACTTATCGCCGCTTAGTACATAATGCTAAAAGCGTGTTTGCTTGGGGCTTAAGATGCCCCTGTAATAGTCTTAAACAGTTCTCACGGTGATTGATGCTAACCTTCTTTCCATTGCTACTGTTGTAGTGCTTATTCTAAACTTAATCTCAATATTTGAACGTTATTTCAAAATAGAAAAAAAGCCATATCTTGCAATGTATTTTTGGCTTGTCGTACCTCGATTATGTCAACAGAAATGACAGTTCTGTAAAGGACTTTCGACCTCCTTTGATAGCATAATCTGCCATAAATTTATTATTCGCCAAAAATGGCCGACGTCCATGTTCTAATTTTGAAATAGATTCTTCAACCATCTGTCGAGCTATAACCAGCCTGCCCCCGTTCTCCATTTAAATTACTTTACCTGTAAACATTAGTATACTAAATAATGCGCATACTTAGGTACTTATTGATCAGCTCTCGCTTAAAGAAAACGAGTTGATAAGCAAAAAAGTTCGCACTATTTTTCACTTTAAAAGGATTATTTTATGGACGTCTACTGCTTAAGTAATAGTTTTCTCCTATTTTATTTACGTAATATATACATTAATAGGACTTTATAAAAACTTGAATGTACTAGGCAGAAATAGAATGATGAGGAGTTAATAAACCGGTTAAAGGCGTCCTGTATTGACCCTTTTAAGTCCTTTACAAACACTGAGTCGATGTTGGTCTGTTTGACAGCTATTAACGGGGTATTGACTTGATTTGCCAGTCTACTCAGTGGCTGAATAAGGAATTGAAATACTTAGGAAGGTATTACCATCAATATAATATGGGCCACTGAACCCGAACCATTAAAACTATTCCATTGGCGGTGTGCAGTGACTAGATATTGTAGCTAAAGGTGATATTAGACCACTTTGGTCACGTCAGGTAAAAAGTTCGGAAACGAATAACGTATTTTTAATTAAAACAAATAAATGGAAATCAAAACTTCTTCTTCTTCTATTATTAGATTGAAATAAAATAGCCTTTAATGACATTAATTTACAATCACGGTAACCCAGGTACTATGATGAATGTCGCAATCGGCGAGTATCAGACAATGCGCAATCATATTAGTAAATAGGGAATAAAAAAAAGAATAGATTGTAGAGTTGTGTTGTCTATTAGCAAATCTATGACTTAATGTTGCAGTGGGAACACGCAAACAATAATCTTGAACTTGCCTGCATAAATAATGGCTGTTGCAGATAATTCGATTCTAGATGTGATCTCGATGCGCTGCCGGCAACTATCCGTGTGTGCTGAGCTGTACCTTAGAGTATGAAGCGAAAATGTAGACATTTACCTTATATTGGACCTTATCCAGTAAAAGTACTGATCGTACCAAAGATAGTTTTTGCCCTAAGGGCATCATTTGACTCAATGTAGTCTTAGATGCGAGATCCTCTAAAACATGTGATATAAGTTTGAGTTTTCTGTTTCGCTTGTTATTTTACCTGTAACGAAGTTATTTATAAACCAGGCCATTGTGGGCTATAAATCATCCCTACTCCGAAGCCCTGGATGAGAAGGAGTGTCAAACTCTCACTGACTAAAAACCACCCCGATCGGAGAACTCCAGGCCGTGGTAAATAATTGTGCTTGGCTGGTTGCCGGTTTGCCATTATTGGTTTGGTAGCAGATTTAAAATAATCAAGAAAATATTTTTTATGTGATAGGAGAGCAAACAACCAGCTCATTACCTGATGGTAAGCAATCAATACGTTCCGAAGCATGACCCTCTCACACAAAACATGGCTCTTCCACACAAAGAGCATGCCTATGTTTGTATTTAATTAAAATCACAGAAATCTGTTGAGATAAGAGCATAGCATTAAGGACGAAACACAAACTGCAGTTTATATCTTAAATTTATAGTTTGTTACTATACCCGCTCTGCAGGTTGTCCCATTCATACTGCAGAGATGCATCCATTACACAATGCACCGGATTGAGGCCGGGGACTGTTCTTGTCTAGATGTCTGGTTCCTTTGACTGCTTCACGTACCCTTGAGGGCGGCACCAGTTTAAAGTAAACAGCGAACAAAGACTGAGGTAGATTCTGTCTGTATGTTTGTATTCGATGTCTTCTAATAATGTACACAATGGATCATGCTGGACAATCTTCGTTCCCATCGCTCTATTCGTATTTATAATTCGAATGCAGTGTCCGTCAAGGCTCTTAGTTTTAATCTTATGAGAAACTGTTGATACGTATCATTTTTGGACGCCTAATTGAATAAAATTATTGTGGATACCGCTTTTAAAGATTTGGATTGCATCGGATGATAAATTTGTGGTAGATTGTAAATTTGGATGTAATTTCTTAATAAGCTCTGTGAGTCAGGTTACAGGAGGCACCCCTTTCTCCCTCCTCTCCCCTTCCCGTCATCCGTCCTTAATCCCTAAATCTGCAAATCCCTAATCCCCAAAAGGTTTGCAACGCACTCATAACTCCTCTGCTGCCCATGGGCGGCGCTGATTGCTTACCATCAGGTAATCTATCTGCTCGTTTGACGACCTATAACATTGCGTAAAATATCGACCTCCACTGAGAAGAGAAGATAGTGTCAAACTGGCTAGAAATTAAATTTTACATAGCCACCGCATGTAATTTAGGGTATGTTTATTTATAATCAACATTATAAATTGAAGTCTAACATTGTAAAACGAAGAATTAATGCCCCCAAGGATCCATATTAGCATAAACAGACTATGGTTACTTGCAGATTGCATTATTCATACATATGATTTGATATGTAAAAAACAGCATTTTATAAAGAAAACTAGTTTTGCCTGGCGATTTTACTCGCGTAATTTATAGCCTATGTTCACTAGGAATAGTGTAGCTTACCAGCAGTGAAATTATTTTTCAAATCTGCAAGTAGCTTCACTGCCTATTCAACTTAGAGCTGATTTTTCAATGGTAAGATGAAAGTTATCCGGGGAATAATTATGATGCTGTCGCGTGACAGCAACAATTTAATTCCTCTGAAAACATTTATTTGACTAATGAAAAATCAGCCCTTAAACCAACAAGCCATCAAATCTGTTTACTTCAGGTATAAATAATATTAGAATGCATTATAAATATAATGATACATCTACAGTTCACAGATTATGAAAGAAAACAATGAGATAATTATCAAGTTTACAGATTGTATAGAGATACCACTTTGTAATTAAAAGAGGTTTCTAAGTGGAGTTTTTAATTTATTGAGAAATAATGTTGGTTGTTTGTTTACAATCAATTAACGGACGAGCTATCAATTATTCTATAAGGCATCTATTGTATTTTGATTAGAAGCACGTGTCTTAATTAATACAAATGATTGGTTTTCATATGTCAAAAAATAAATAAAGTTTAAAATTGCACGTTTGGTGCAGCAACTAAACAACCGGAATCGAACAATCTATACTAATATTATAAAGAGGTAAAATTTGTAAGTTTGTATGTAGGGGTAATCTTTGGAACTGCTAGTGGTATTGTCAAAATTCTTTCACTGATAGGTAGCTACAATGTTCCTGAGTGCTATATATAGGCTATAAAACATCACGCTACGATTAAATGGAGCCGAGCAGCGGGTGAAACCGCGCGAGAGTAGCTAGTGTGTCATAAGTTGAATAACACAGGACAAGTTGTTGTGCCGAGTGAAATTGTATGTTTGGTAACGCACCCACGATACAAACGAAGAACAGATTTAAGGAAATATAGTACCTACTAGTTCCCTCAATATAATCAATAATCCGTGACAATGTATAATGTATCATGATCTTTGTAAGATGATTTGCCATATTCTCCACGTATACTTATTGCACTGGAGCTCGTGTTGGAGATCTCAGTTTAAAAGTTTGAGGTTTAGGTACGCTTTCGGAGGCTGGATCATAATGCGATCCCCGACGCCCGGATTGTCTCCTCCTGCAACGGCTGCGGCGTGAGAGAATCGATTAGGAGCTCGTATAACACCCGCGGAAAAAGTAACTCCTACTTATGTGGTGACAAATGACTCAAAACCTGTTAATGTGAATAGTTGGTAATATAACGTTGGCCTTAATTTGCAAAAATAAACATAAGTAAAGTTTCGATATAATAATCAAATTATTGATCAAGAAATAAACTTTTTTTCACTAAATGATTGTGGCTGTTACTAATTAACTTCTTTCAATAGTCAGTTAAATGTTATATAACGAATAAAATTGTTGCTGTCACTGTCTTATACAAACATTCTGACGCGACAGCATCATAATTATTCACCAGATAACTTTTATCTTACCATTGAAAAATCAGCCCTTAGAGTTTTATATACTCATTTTATCGTATACGAACGAATGTCTTAACTCTTAATTAAAGTAAGAAATAAAACTTGATAAATAAAAAAACTAATGACGCCAATGAAACTCCTGTTAAAGTTAGGACGAGTTTTCAATTAAAAGATGTAAGAAAAACTAGTTGGGAACATCCTGCGGACGGGATTTGTGTTAACGACTTGCATTTCCAAGTATTTTATATCAATTAGAAAAAGGTTGTTCATGATTCTTATCTAAGCAGTCTCCTTGTATGTCTGATGGTCGCGAATCCTATTGGTTTTTTGTGAGGGGAAAATCATCAAATGACATCTCCCGCCCAGAGATGGGCGGCAGGGATTGTCAGACTCTTACTGCCTAGAAAAACCGTTCATTCTCCTGCTCTGCGCCTAGGTCGCGGTGCCTCATAGCGCTTACCCCTCAATCCTGGCTTCAGCCCTATAGGGCCCCGTCTGTGGTGGTTTATTGGCTCTTTGAGGCGCTCGCGGAACGCTACGTCCGTCCCGTACCGGCCCGTACGCTCGGGTCTGGTTCTGGTAGCGAGCTACCCTTACTCCGCAGACCCGCGCAATACTATTGGTAGGCTTATGATTCGACTTCAGATTGGGAAAAAATGTCATCTGCGTGTCAATAGGGAAGTTATCATATGACTTTAGACTTAAATCCGATTTCCTTAGAAATTATATTGCATTGAGATGTTTTGTTATTTTCCCATTTAACAAATAAGTTATTTTTTTAAGAAGTAAAAACATTTTTTTCTTCTAAACATACTGCGGGCAGACATTCTAGGCAAAACTTACCTAAATCCGCCAATCTTATGTTGACTTAAACTGATAAAATACATATTAAAGGTAGCTCAAATCAAATATCTGCCCATTTGATATTCCTTAGAGCGGTATTAAGGACTAGAAAAAAATTAATTTAATTTGAACATAGAAATTTAAATGAAAATAGTGCAAACTACTGAACTAGGTTAGTGATTCCAATCCATATCCATGGTAGTCATTTCATTTTAATATTTATTCCAACGGAATAAGGGCTATAGTCGCACATTTTACACTAAAGGTAAACACCACGCGAGAAAATCTCAATTTTCTCTTTGTTTTTGTTCTAACACCCGCGGCTATAAACGGACGGCTCTCATTCATAGCCCAGATATTCACTGTCTATACTCCACAGGCTATCATTAATGTTATTAGAAGAAGCACGCAACAACATTAATAACTATTTTCTAAATTAAATCAAGTTTTTTTCTCAGAAAGTTTCAAAGCGTTCTGTAAAAAAGTAAATGGCTATGAATGCTCGTATTATTGAATTAAATTTGCCGTGTACCTGTCTAATTTTGATGGAACGTGGTTATTGCTGGTACCTACTGATACCTAGTATAACTGTTATACTGTATTCAGTTCAGTTATTGACACCTGTTGTATACTTCCTTATTTCGTCTTTTCCTGGTATTTAAAAAAAGGATTGAAACGCCTTAAGGTTTTCTCCTTTCCGTCGGGGATGCGTTCCAAACTTACAGTGTCATTTTGTTAAACTAATAATTGTCCCGAAAAGTTGAACTGGTGGCAGTTTAGGTACAAGATTGTTACTAAAAATACGATCCCTTTTCATCATCAAATGGCTTCCGTCGCCTAGGGTAGGGCTAGAGGGTATATGTATAGTATAGTTTCAGACTCTTACTCACTAAAAACTACCCGTTCCTGGCAAAGGCCGCAGTGCCTTATTGCGCTTTCCCGGCAACCACGAATAGTCTCTAAGATTATTAACATAAAAAAGTTATGTTATCTAATTTAAAACTAGGTACAAAAAACTTGTGTCCTTAATATGTATGTGTTGTTAGTTTGGCAACATACATGAAGTAAATAAGGAGATTTCAATAAAGAATCAGGTACATATAAGGCGTGCGTTATACATCGCCCTTCTGACCATGATCTGGTTTAAAACAAGCTTCACACTTACATATGCATCGGTTCATAAGTGAACCATTTTATTTAGCAAACCTTGTTGTTTGGAATCCACCGAACTTACGATATGGGGCATTCAAAACAAAATGCCTAATTCGATTGTTTTTGTTAAGAAAAAATCACTCGGACATATCATGCCCTCAATAGACCAGATAGCATTCACTTAAATTAGGGATGTCCAGACTCACTAGTGGAAATGATTTGCAATTGTATCGATAGTTTTTATATCGATTTTGCGGTTATTGTCGGAGAGAGTTGATTGGTGGTGTCTTGGAATCATTATTTGGCTTGCGATCCTCGTTTAGGTATCAATCTTCATGTCAATCGTGAGTCGTGATGCCTCATTGGGGTCAGAAGCTGTGCGTGACGTCACCGCTCCCAACTCCGGAAGCGCCCCGCTATACACACGCTTGATTCGTTTTTCTTTCTTCAATATCATTATACCTAACATTATAAAAGATGGCGTCTTATTTATTTTTCTTAGTTGCCGTTATTATGCGGAATGAAGATGTAACTTTTTTTGAGTCCATCAGGCACAACCTATTAGTATGGTTCACGCTTTAATGGCAACCAAATAGTTTTTGTTCTATTTCTTATTGTTAGTTTTTCGACAGATAATAAAGTGATTTTGCATTAGTTTTAATGTAAAGCGTGTAATGTAGGTACCGGTCTGAATTATGGTGAGAGCTAAAAAGGATTGAGTTTTTATTTATCTAATCATATCCAAAAGTTGTACTTAGACGGATAACAGAACTATGTAGGTATATAAGTGTGGGAGAGCCATGCTTCGGCAGAAATGGAACGGCTCGACCGTACTGATACCACGGCATCACAAAAACACCGGCGTGAAACAATCACAGCGTTGTGTTTCGCCAGGTGAGTGAGGTTACCAGAGGCTCAATCCTTCGTTCCCACCTCAATTTCTAAATATTAGAATCCCTATCCCCAGGTCAACGCATTTGTAACTCCTTTGGTATTGCGGGTGTCTATCGGCGGCGCCTACTCGGTTACTGTCCTATCACATAGAAAAAAGCATTATACGAGTAGGTAAACAAAACAAGGTTTAATACAATATCATTACTGGGATGTCTTCTTAACACTCGTACTGACTCATGTGTACAATTCGATCGACCATTGTTAGTGAAACAATACTTGTAAACCCTTCTATCAGTAACGGGGCTCTTATCGTCCCGAATCTTAACATACTGATCCAATTTCTGCCAAAATCAACTCGCAATTGTCTTAGTATTTACACTTTTACGAGTACAAATGAACAAAAGGCCATTAAAGATGATTATTCCCTTTGTTTTGGAGAAAGTCGTCGGGTCCCACACGTGCGTCTGTCAAATTCTCGTAATGAACGACTTTAATTGTAGTTAATTAGATGTAAAATGTGCTAAATAATTCAAATTTAGAGTTATTTCTTTGTATAAGTTATTTATGTCACGAAGTTAGTCCCATAATTACCTATTTTGATGCGACCATGCTTTTACTTTCCTCGTTCGTTTTAGTTCTAATTTTAAAAATGCGCGCCAATTTTTTCCGGCTGTAAATCTATTAAAAAAGAGGATTTGTAAAGAGGTTGTATCTCTTTACTCTCTCTAGTACTGCTTTTTTATGTCTCTTTGCGTATTCCTAATGCTTGTTTTTTTATTGCGGCTCCTTGCAGGTGGTCCACAGACCACAGTGATTGTAGACCAAAGGTTCAAATAGAAGAAAAACCTAACAAAATTGTAACCGAAGTAAATTGCTTCGTAGATAGGTATAATAAACATAAAAATAAGCAAAAACTATGAAAATAAGAATTTACTCCATCAAATCTTTGATTGGAATAGATCTTCCACATTCGAAATTATTAGATTGAGCTAGTGTTCCAAATCAAATTTTAAACAGAATTTAGAAGTTGATTTTTTGAGAGGATTGACAGAGAAAGTGATTTCATGGCATCTCGGATCCCGGCCTCACAAAATACTTGCATTCGCCGTGTGATTGTGGTTACCAAAGGCCCAAAACTTCCCAAAATTACCTCTACCTCAACATCTATCTTAATCTATGAATCCTCAAATAATCCGGTAATTCCGCTGATTAATTACCATGAGAATACTTATTGAGAGTTCGCTTTAAATCAATGTGATCGACAAGTTGATGACGTTCGTCGCTCTAATTGGCTTGATTTAAATTAACCAACCAATTAGAGAGCTAGACGGAGTAACTTTGTATTCGCGTTAACGTGAAGAAAACTCAAACTAGGCACTCAGGTCTGCGTTTGCTGTCCCATCCCATAAAAAAGAAACATCTAGAAACCAATAAAGATTGAATGGATTTATAACCACACATGTATTTGAATGTATATTTCCGCCAAGCAATAACTTATGTATGTAAAACGGGCTTATATACACGTATTCATAGTGGTTACAATAAATCACAAATATCATGACTATACATTAACCCCGAAAGCTTTGACAAGAAAGCCATACAGTTATATACTCGTACAATGGTGGCACATTACCGATTTGTGAAAGACAATTTCCACCGGTTGGGTCGTGTAGAGGAAATGCAATATTGTTAGTATTATGTTCCTATTCCTACTATCTCTATGAATACTTTATTCTAGTGTTGTTTACAAATAGGTCTGATACCTTTTTGATATATGGATGGAAGAGTAAAGCGTTAAAAGCTTGTTGATTTAATGACACGGAAGGAAACAGCTATTACGATTGTGAAGCAAAAACTACCAATTTTTGTTACGTGTTTTATTTATTAAAGTTTAAAAAAATACTTTCAAGCCTGTCTAAAAAGTATGTAGGCCAAATTAAATTTACTATAACAAAAAAAAAAAAAAAATAAGAGAAATTGGATTCGACGTTTCTCGATTTAAAAATCGTTCTTAATTTAAAGATTGTGGTGATTTAACCAAAAAGTTTGTAATAATATCGTCACAGTCACAGTTTTTGCTGGCATTTAAAGTGAATAGATAGAAAAGGATTTGGTTTTTGCCACTGAAAACGCCCGCTTAGTTCCACGGAATTACTTAGTTGATACGTAACCGGTAATTTTATTTCGTCCGATTAGTTCTAGAGTCATCAGCCGCGCATTTTGAGCAAACCTCTAAGATAATTGTACGTAATGGAAATTATAAGAGATGTTAATTATGCGTTAGCATCCATTATCTTTTGGGAATTCCATTTTCGTATAGAATGGAAAAAATATTAAATTTAATGTTGGTAACTGGAATCTCAATATTTCTAAAAAAATCCACATATTACATTTGAAACTATATTTTAATCTTAGTTGATAATAAATCTTCATTTATTACAAAGCCTTAAGTCTATTATTCAATCATAGCTCAACTGTAAACACAATTTATTAACTTAACAATGGCGAGCAAATATTTTACAACTAGCGATTAATAACACCTTTGTTAACAATGTTTTTTCTTTTCGTAGGAGTTCCGACGGACCGGACGGAACATGCGCTTGCGTCGGCGCAGGAGTACAAAGAGGCACTCGAGGCTATAAGGAGGCACACTGGCGCCGTAAGTAACACCTTATAATATATATTATTAGGGTAAACTACACCACTGGCGCCAACAGACATTTCAAAAATATAATGCTACACATAACGTAGTGAATTTTTCTAACCCATTGCTACTTCCTACTGGTCATTATTAATGTTGCTAATTTACATTGAAAGGTTTTATCTGAATTATAATGTGATTGTACTGAGAAATGTAATTCAATTAATGATTGTCCGATTGCTATTTTTAATAAGACTACAGATTGGCCCATAACAATATAGACTGGAAAGAGAGAACGAACTACACAACATACGTTCCATTTTAAAGCAGTAATGTAATTTAAAAAAAATCCATTACGTTTTAAAATACTTGCGTCATACACGTATAATGACGGGCCCTGGGCCACCTCTACTTAAAGCAGTAAGTAAGCAATTGACAATGTAAGCGATGACTGGGCAACTGTTTTCGTGTCCGATTCCCGAACAAAACAAGTCTGTGTGTAATCCACAAATGATTGTCCCGAGTCTGGGTGTGATATGTATGTGAAATTTTATGTTTGAAAACGCACCCACGAGACAGGAGAAAGTCCTAGTGTAGTTAAGGTAAAGTAAACTAGGCACAAAATAGTTCTGTAAAAAGAGTAATATCTCATTAATAATAATTTCATTAGTAAATGTTATACTTACAAATTATAGATCTATTTAATGCAAGGCTTTAGCCTCATTCTTACGTTGTCCCAGTAATAATTTACAATGGCACTTTTAATCCCTACTATTGGATTGAAACTGATGTGAAGCGATGGTGATGAAACTTAATTAAAAGTTTGCCAATTTATAAGTCTATCAGGTAATATACAAATAAGATTGTATGTTTGTAATCGCATCCACGACACAGGAGAAAATTCTAATGTAATAACGTTACGTAATAACGTTTTTATTAAAAAGAAAAAAAGAAATGATACTAAAGGACGTAGTTTGTTTGCCGCATTTGAAAAAACAAATCGTAGAGCCATCGAACAGAATTTACTCGAAATCGAAATTTACTCTATAAATAAATATTGACGCGAAAATGTCTCATAACACGTAGTAAATAAGTAAGAGAATGTTACGAAGAGTCACATATCCATGCATCATCCTCGGCGTACTTTAATTAATTTTAATAGCAGTGCCTTCGGCTGTTTCTTAACCACACATATGACGCCTTGGAACAATTTCAAGATACGTTTTAAATACGTACGTGTAAAATAAAATACCTCAAGGCTTAAATCACACTGTATATTTATTTTATTTCCTAGCCTCGAGGCTTCGGAATCCTATATCAGAAGTGGGTCCCATTTTAATTAATATTTCCATGTCTATAAATATGGAAGGTACTAACAATCGTTATAGGTAGGCCTTAGAATAAAATATACATATCTGTAAATTAAAAGATTTCTTGATAGAAACGTAGAAATTAAAATATGTAGTTGGAGACGTCGTTAGACCTGTTCTTTGCTTGCACTTGGCTCTTATTGCATCTTCATTTTACATTTCATATGTTAATGCCTTGTTATAAAGATATTTTTTTGAGGCGGCAAAATCATTCAATGTCTTTTCACCCGCCCTAGGGGGATAGGAAGTGTCTGACTCTCACTCTCACTAAAACTCACCACGTTCCGGGCCGGGGCAGCGTTATATTATTGCGATTGCACCCACAGACACATAGGTTATTTATGACCGAGGTACAATTGATTCATCCCCAAATCCCCAATCCTCACCAACGTACAATTGATTCATACCCAAATCCTTAACTTCGTAACGCGCCCGTAACTTCTCGGTATTACGGACTCCATAGGCGGCGCCGATTACTTACCATTCGATGATCCGAATCATAATTTATCGACCTGTAATTAGTAAAGTCTACTACACGAAAAGAAATCTTATACATATTAGTTATTATTTACTAGTACAAATTTACAGTCAACTGCCAATTAGGTACCCGCAGATACAAATACACGTTCAGGAGTGTATTTAGGATATAAGTAAATGGGTGAAGATAGTTAAGAAGGAATTGAGTTTTGTATGCCAATAAACTATTATAGGATCGGTACCGACACCTTCCCAACCTTATGTTGTAAATACATAAGTATGTACCCACCTTACAAGCTTTGAAGGAAGTTGTAAAAGGTACACAGCTCCTTATTTATTCGACTATAAAATGTTAGTTTAATTGTTATTTCATATCGTTAAAGTTTATGCGAAACATCGGCGTGTTTATTCCCACTAGATTAATAGTTATTTTTCTAATTGTTTTATGATACGTTGTTTTAAAGTTTAAATTAGGCTGATTTATTGTTCTGTAACAATTTAATTTTAATTAAAATATGATATTGGATTCTAATATTTATTTATTTAAGACATAATTATTATGATTTTGTGATGATGAAATGTGATTTCGATAGGACATTAATTTAATAAAACCTGATTATTATGCGTCAAATAAGCAAATTAATTTCATTAATGATATTTTGGGAGTCGTATAGTGTCAAGCTGCAGGTTACATAGTGTGTCTAGGTATATGTTTTACAATTTTAAGAATATTGGACAAAAACCTATTTTGCTGTCAGAAAAATAAGATTTCTAAGGTTAACAGAACTATTATTATTAATGCATAGACACAATTAATTTTGTTGCTAAAATTAAGTTACACTAATAATTTACAGACAAATACAGATTACAGATAAATATAGAGTTAGCGTATTCTAAAAACCAACAATTAATTATACATACTGTTTGTTCATTTGTCCGGTCGTACAGAAATGGCCGTAATTACGGGATGTCTTAATATTATCAGTGTGAAGTGGTAATCGGTGCGAATTTTATTTTTAGAAGTGAACTAGAAAAAGTATATAAATGTTGGCAATTAATTCTGTTGGAACTAAGCTGAATAGTTTTGTTTTATAGCCTTAGGCTTAATCTACTGAGATGTTCTAATCGCAGTAAGCCAAGCGCTCTGCGCATCCATTAACCAACCTGTCTTCAGTCACCTTTTTTTCTGATAACAGTGTGATTAAATTGTCATTTTGTCCAAGCTGGTTATGGAACTGTACGGCCATCGTAAGCTGAGATACGGAGGCCGGCCCTAAGGCCCGATGTAAATTTCAGAATGTAGCGAGATCCAATTATGTCTTTTCAGGACATAATTGGATGGTTAATGCTCATTCCGCATGAAAAAAGCCCTTTGCACAGTGAAAACATACATCTTGTCATGTGTGAATGCACTTACCTAAACTATTACATAATCTTAAATAAATTTGTCTTATTTAGAACCTCGAGTAAATTTAGACTACCAAATCCTTGCAAAATCAGCTCCGTACCTCTAAACGTCGGCAAGTTTTATTTAAACTAAACAATGAGGATGATTATGACCTCTCTAGAGTGTAAGAAAATCTTATTTAAAGACTCGTTGGACTTCTTCATTTTAATACAAAACCACGATATTGAACTCAAAACAAAAACATCCTTGATTTAATAAAAATATGACTATAATAAATTCAATTGTTCTTTTTCCTTGTTTTTCTCCCAGGAGCGCAGCAAACCTCAGCGTACGTTAGAAGCAGAACCTGAAGAGTCCCAACAGGAGGTGGAACAGGAATACCTGGATGAACTCCTGGTGCCTGAACCCTGGGAGCTAAATAACACAGCACGAGCTGGCACTGAGATCCTGTTCTTCAACAGAGTGCCCAAGGTTGGCAGCCAGACGTTCATGGAACTGCTACATCGGCTGGCCTATAAAAATCAGTTTGGTAAGAACATTATGAAGACTTTATATGTAAAAGCAATTAGTTCTCAGTATGTCACAGTACTTACAATTAAGTACACGAGTGAATAGTGGTTCGTACATTTTTTATGGATTTTAACGTTTGAGAGAGCCATGCTTGAATGGGTCGGCTCGACTGGCGTGATACCACGGCCTCACAGAAAACCTGCACGAAACAACCACAGTGTTTAATGTTAATTTCAATGTTAGTGGTATTACCGGGAGCCCAACTCTTCCTCGTCCCCTATCCCCGTATCCAAAAATTCTAATCCCCAAAAGGCACTACATACATAACGACAGGATACACTTATGACTCCTCTGATGTCTAGACACTGCGAACGAGGCGGTACAGTCACTAACTCTCAATAATCATCATCATCATCACCAGCTTATAAGTGCCCACTGCTGAGCAAAGGCCTCAATAATACATATATCGAAAATAAAGCTCAAACCAAAATCCTTTTACTTATCATTTAAAAACATTTATCATTATATTGTTTTGTTCAGGTTTCCATCGAGATGCCGTGCAACGTGTGGAGACCATTCGCTTGGCGCCCGCTGATCAGATGGCACTCGCCAGCCTCGTGTCTGCATATGACCCTCCAGCCTCATACATCAAACATGTCTGCTACACCAATTTTACCAGGTAAACTAATTTTGTTCAAAATAAGGACTTACTTACGTAAAACTACAAATGACAAAAAAAAGGTTCTTTGTTTTAAAATCTGTTATCGAATCAACAGCCTATTCTGGAATAATTGTTTGAACGATTCTTGGTGAACTTGGGCCTGATTGGATATAAAGGTGGAAATAATATTTTTTCATGTCAAAACACAATTATAACTCTTGGCGATAATAATGAATATGAATGGTACTTAATTTGTACGATGTAAACACAACAGCAATTTAACAAAGAGCATCTTAATTACAATAACTTCACTAACTTTGCAAAATAGAAACAGTCAAAAGTTATACGCCATGCAAAATTCTGTGAATTTTCGGGTTCAGATACTTGCGAGGTTCTATTTAAGTTTTATATTGTATATGCGATACTAATGGCAGACTGCTCGAAAGACAAACCGCCTCCGGCGACCGAAGCGTGAAATGAGCGAAGCGAAACCAAATAAACATGAAAACAGCGCGCTATATTCATGTTTGCAACTTGTTAAATCGGAGCCGTAATGGGTAAACTCTCAACAAAACTATGTCAGCAACTAGTAAATTACTATACAATAAAAATACCGAACATGATCTAGGTCTACAGTCTAACAATTTTAGCCATTATTTCTAGATCCAATCATTAGTTTTTCTTTCTTTTTCCCTGCATTTTAACGAGTTGGTCGCAGTGAATAACTTGGAATACCGGGTAACATGAAGCAAAAGCCGGCCGTTTTCCCACAAACCGTTGAACAACTGATGCTTTATTATTTGATATGAATTAATACACTGTTAATATTCATTAATGTTTATAAAATCCTATTGACACTGCAAATTAAATTACCTTGGAGCCCACGCAAGTTGACCAATGCAACTTCAACACATTACCGCAAAGAGCCTTTGGTATGTGAGACTGTTTTACCTACGCGTTTCATCTTCCCAGTCATTAGTCTAAGCCATTGAAATCAAATGAAGCATAAACTAGCGGTATCTGGCGCTAAATCTTCATTGATGTGAAACAAAAATAGACTTCCAGCTGTCAAGACATTGATACTCATATTTACGCGTGTTGGAAAGCCGACGTGTCTGAAGCATCAATCACACTGCACCAAACATTATTGGTTGGATAGTCGTAAACATATGATTAATGTTTCTTGTGGACGTTAATTGCGATCTACTATTACTTGATAGCCGAGTCTCTTGTTAGTGTTAATTATAAAGCGGCACGTGCAAAAACTATGTTCTACCTGTTCCATGCTTCCATTGTTTAGACGTCGGGCGACGCAATGAGAGCGGAATGCGTTTCGGTGCTACTGATTTTTTTTTTCTCGGTCTTTATTACAATTTATGTTTTGTATTTTTCACTGTGAAAATGTTAAATGCCATCCTGAAGATGACATTGATATTATAATTGCTACAAATTGATCATCTTGTTCATGAAGCATTGAATAGTGAAAACGGCGTGTTTTCATCGCAAATCGAGCAAAGAATTTGGAAAACACGGAGATGGAAAGTGTACCGAGAACGGTAATAAACTCCACTTTTATATAAAACTAATGACAACGAGTGAAAAGTGGGTTTGCTAACTGTAATATAAACTGCCTCTTTGTTAGAGGAAAACTATGCTATACTTTATAACAATTATGTTTAAAATTACTACAAAAAAGTACTTATTGTTGTAATCGATTAAAATTTTTGTTCAAAGACGTGCGTGCTGTAGGTTCTGATAGTGTCATTTAGTCATGAAAGCCGCTGAATAAAGCGCTTTAACAATAAAGGTGACAGCGTATTTTTATATCATGTTTAAACATTCCAGATTGGGCTTTCCGAATCCAATATATGTGAATGTGGTTCGGGATCCAGTGGAGAGAGTGATCTCTTGGTATTACTACGTGAGGGCGCCTTGGTACTACGTGGAGAGGAAAAGAGCCTTCCCAGACCTGCCTCTACCTGACCCTGCCTGGTTGAAAAAGGTTTGTTGATTATCTGAAAATAATATCCTAAGTTCTCTTGACTAGATCTGGTGCTTTAAGTAAGAAATCTGGTGGCATGATAGAATCTGACCTGTAGAACTGAAAGAACTTGTTCATATGAACTTATGAACTTTTTCCTAATAGCTACAGGGTTCTTGTTAAGCCATTTAAGATAACCTCTTTCGAAAATTAATAATGGACGTCATCGTATTCTAAGTACGGCTAAGCCTTTGTACTGCACACTATTAAAAATTGACACCCACACTTAAACAAAAAATAGACACGCAATCACTCAAGTTTAACTATTAATCATCACACCAGTTCACATATCTGATTCTAAGTAAGCATGCATAATGCGTGTCAATCGCATAAATAATAATAATAGATCTAAATGTCATATAGATAAGAACTATAATTAAATTTTCATATTTTTTCTCCATCGTCATTATCGTGAGAATATTCATGTTATTAGAATTATTCTAGTGTTTTTCAAGAAACAATCGTGACATGATCTTCGTTTGTGAGATGTGTTTTTGTTTGGTAACGGTGAAAATGATCTTGTTGGAGATGGGTATACTTGTACTATGATCGAGGAACATTTTGTTCGTGCAATGGCTTCTAAAATTACATAGAACACTTTGATGGAGCATGTAATGGTAACTAGATTATCGTGGCCAGCTATCTATTATGTTGAATTATAACATAATCTTGAAATCTAGACAGTGTCGTGGTCATACCCTTTATCTTTTTATCAGAGTTTTTGACGCCATGTTCACTTGAAACCAATTTTAATTAACGCGCGAGATCTTGGCATTCTCGTTTTCAGCCCATCTGCTGGACAACATTATATTGCGACCGGTAAGGGAACCTATGTAAACTATACACAACTGCTTACCTACCCAGGGGTGCCAAAAGTTGTATAAGGCATATTCAAATTAATAATATTTTATCAATATCGATGTTTTTTAAATGATCTTTTCACGCCCGGAGTGAGGAGAGTGTGAGTCATCATCGTCATCATCGTCAGCCTATAAGTGCTCACTGCTGAGCTAAGGCCTCTTCTCATACGGAGAAGGTTAGAAAATTGATCACCACGCTTGCTCAATGCGGGTTGGCGATTTCAAAGTTATAATTAGTAATTATAAGTCCACGTTTCCTCACGATGTTTACCTTCACCGTATGTCTAAATAAGTAGCGTCTAAATAATCATAGAATACAACTCGGAAAAAGTCACATTGGTACTTGCCAGGTTTCGAACCCACACCCTATGCATGAGAAGCGGGCTCCTTAGCCTCCGGGCCACCACGACTTTTTTTTAGAGTGCGAGTATCAGAGACTTATTATCCAAAAACCAATCCGTTCCTTCTCCTATCCGCACCTACCTACTATTTATTATTATTGCACTTACACCCCTAATAAATATCAATGTAATAATACAAAAACGTTTGTAACAGCAATTTATAAAGTAAAGGAAATATTTTGTTTATCTCCAAAAGGTGTTGTAAGAGTAAAGTGAGATACGCTTTATATCGAGTTGATCGCCCGCCAATGCACGGATGAAATGGCTGAAATTGAACACGTGCCGTGCCGTTAGTTGCGCAGGAGTTGATCCCTGCTAAGGTCGCCATTAGTAGGGAATGTTATGAAGCTATCTCGAGTTGATGATATAATCATAATAATATAAATAATGCATTGTTGCGATCAGTTTGAACATTTTATTCCTACTTGATAACTCGGAGCGAATTCAAGTTGTTTCTTAGTACTACCACGTACTACCATTCAGCCGAGGTTAGCGCAATGAGGCACCACGACCTCGGCCCAGAGCAGGAGAAGGAACGGGGGGGGGGGGGGTTTAGTTAGTCAGAAAGAGTCTGACACTCTCTCTCGCCTTACCCTGGGCGGGAGAAGTCATTAGATAATTTTCACATGACAAAAAAAAATGATGTAACAAATAAATGAGTTGTGAAACTGATTGAAATAGAGTTATTATGGAGATACTTGCTCGTGCATCTCTATTGGAATCCAGACTTTGGAATGTCGGTTGCAAAGTGTAGCTTAAAGGACCAACAGACTGACTCACACACAAAGTCGAACTTTTTGATATTTAGTTATTTTGTTTGATGTTCAAAACCACCTATTTCTTTCTCCGACATACCGCTTTGGGTGGAGCGAGAAGGAGTGTCAGAGTCTTACTGACTAAAAACTACCCAGTCACTTTTTCTTCTCTGAGCCGGAACAGCGGTACATTTTCTAACTTGCCTCCGACTGGGTCAACAAGATAAAAGAACACAAGCATCATTAAACAAAACATGTATGTGCACGTCAAATTGTTGTTACAATCACAATATCTGTCGAAGACAATAGCTAAGCAATTACATCGGTCCGCATCTTACAGCGGTATAAATCAATTCTTAATGCGACCGTTAACGCTATGATCATCATAGCGTTAACCATTCGGCCCACTAGATTCTCAAGCTTTCGCGATTTCCTTGCTCCGCAAACCTATTTCATGGACATCAACGGCCGAACAACTAACTAACTAACTATTTGATGAATACAGAACCATTTTTCCGCGTTTTACACCATACTCTGTGACGAATCTAGTTTTTTTAGCGTGCCGAGCCCCGTTAGGGCTGTCAGAATGTTCATTTTAAGATCCCATGGTCAATAGTTCAGACTGCAGATCAGTCGGTCACGACGCTGTGGTTAACACGACACGAATCAGTGCTCACGATAGACAACCAACATCGATATGTAACGAAGCAATGCGTCTAACGATTTGTGGATTAATTGGGTTAATGTATCTGATGGGAATGATACGTCATTTTAGTGCAGTTAACGATTTAATAGTGATTGTACTCTATTTCTAATACTTCAATACATTAGAGTTGTACCTACGTTGTAACTGTTATTCCGTCAATATCTCAATCGGTTTATGACGCTTTTAACATTGTAATTGAATTTCGTTTCAATTTATTCCTCTGCAGTAGCGTCGTATTTATTAATAACTTAACCTTTATATTTAAATAAAATCGTTTTCAATTATCCTATAGATAAATAATAATTGCTTCTGTTGAACAATTATGAATGGTTTGAATGAATTGTTGAAAAGAAAGATGCATCGCTTGGATGGAAAGGTGATTTCAAAAAGCGTTTCATTATAAATTGAAACGTTTTGTTAGTAAATTTTAGGAATGCATAATGACTATCTTAAGTTTTATCATAATACATAATTACCCTAGTAATATTGTGTTATTTTTAGATACATTGTAGGTTATAGTTTTATTGACAGCATTATAAAACGTAAAAGCTGAAATGTAGGCTCTTAAATTTACTGCAGATAAATACGTACGTAATTGTTATTGCTGTGTCAGTACTTGAGTATTTAAATCCTTATCTAGAATCTAAACTGCCATCTTTAATTGTATATTGGTATCGTACTGAGATGGTGCAATCTTGATCGAACTTCAAGTACAACATTTTATGAGAATTGCCGACAATCCATTTATATGTATTTATGACTCGTGAAATGTGTACGAACGTGTGTTTCAAATTGTTACAATATGACTAGGTACAAGTGATTTGAATAATAAATTGTCTTAAAAGTACAAAAATATAAATGAAAGTGTAATAAAAATTAAAATGTAGGCAATTGTACTGTTTTAAAACTTAAGATGGCGTTCTTTCTTTCTAATGATACCTACCTACAGTATCATATTTGATAATATCAATCTGCTTTAAGAAAACACAGAAAACACAGTTAATTGTTTTTTTTTTTACATATAAAAAAATTAAAATCATTACCAGACTTTAAAAATGATCATTATTACGCATACATAAGCGGCTAGATGGCGGACTGTTTCTTTACTAAAGTGCATAACTAATGAAGTAAGGAAGGAAATAGGAGAATCTGACAGTTATTCTACAAAATAGTGATGTACATTTACGGATCTAGAGTTAAGCTATCAATCAATGCCTAACGAAAGAGAATGGAAGTTTTAACTAATTGCATTTTTTTTCGCAAAAGCTAATTTATATTTTAAACGGTACATATCAGAGTTGTAATTGCCGAAAGCCTAGATTTCAACGGAGTGTGAATTAGCTTCGAGCTATTCTTTGACGAAACAATTAGCACCAATTCTTTGGAATATTAATCATGGCTGTAGTTCTAAGAAGGCTAAGTAAAATAGATTTCGTTATAAGTTCCTTGTGAATCATTTTAAGAACATGATTAATGTAAACCGATCATTATATTATACTAACGGGTTCATGTCGGTTCTTTTTTATGTGATACCTACCATCAGACGGATTACCTGATGGTAAGCATTTGGCGTCGCCCACGGACACCCGCTACACCAAAGGCATTACGAGTGCGATACTGGCCTTTTAGGGATAAACGTTTCAGATATTTAAGAATTGGGAAGGGACGGGGAGAGGGCAGCGATTGGGCCTCCGGTAACCTCACTCGCATGGCAAAACAGCGGTGTGGTTGTTTCTGTTTCACGCCGTTTTAATGCCGAAGCTTGGCTCTCCCACACTTAAACTCTACTCTACTTTTTTCTTAAAGAATTTCATTCACACAGTAAAATAATAGTTATTTTCTTTGAAATCGTGCCTCTAGTTTCGTATTTTAAAATGTAGAAACATAGTCTATGTTTTTTGAATGTCATTTATTAAACAAAGATACAAATGGTACAACATTTTCAAAAATTGTAGGTACGTTATTCTTGGTTTACTCTACCATCTTGGAGATTCCAATCCAAATTGTAAAGCTCATACATGGACTATCTTCAAATCGTAGTTATGAATTAAGGCCTTGTAAGGCGACCCACGTAGAGACCTCTTTCCAAGTCCCTGCAATCTCGCGATGTCTATCGAACTAGTCATTCATATATCAATGGCCAGGAAATGCATAAATGCATTAGCTATTGCCTATTCTCAAAGGTAAACTAAAACAGGCCGACATGCTCTGGATTTCTGAAACAGTTTCGAATATAATTCGTTCACAAGATGATCTCGGTGAACGAACTTTTCTTTTGAAAAATGTTATTTTGTACAGATTTATGCACTATTTGTTCGTTTTGTGGCTTTTTGATATTGTTACTGTTGTTATATTTAGTTTCCGTCATGCACTATTAAGTAATATTATAATTTTACTAGCTTCCGCCCGCGGCTTCGTCCGCGTCGTACCCTATGTCCTATTCCGGAGTGTATCCTATGCCTATGTCAAGATTTATCCAGATCTGTCCTGCAGTTTTGGCGTGATTGAGTAACAAACATCCAAACGTCGTTACTTTCACATTTATAATATTAATAAGATAACTAGATAAGGTGACTTTATTTGTTATTTTTATCGTAATTGGTTCTCCGAAAATAGATTTTTGTATTTACCTAGGGTATCACTGTTGACCTTCTCGTTGGATGTGTCGAAGATCATCGCAATAATTACAGTTTGGTGGAAACTATCCAAACTGCTAATTAAGATTCTGGTGCGCTTGCGTTCGAACTCATGCTAGACATTTAAGTACAATAACTGTAAACTTCGCCATGGTTTATTAGGTACAAGGTACCGCCTAATTATAGCTGCACTATAATGCTGTAAGGGAACTAATCCATGTAGGTACAGTCGGCCAAGTTATTTGGATCTAACGTGAATAAGGACATTATAACTCATACAAAACTTTTTTCTGCACTATATCTAAATTTTTTCTGCTTTCTTTTCGACATACGAAATTATTTTCTTACGATGGGTTATCTACCTACGAGAGGAGAACAGCGGAGCCTTTTACAGTGGGATTGTGGAGAGATCGCAACTAAAAATATATAAAATAAAAATTATATAATGAAAAATATTAAATAATATAATAAAAAATAACAAATAAAAATAAAAGGCCAATCTTCGAACCAATTAGATGTTACCCAAGAACTTTTAATGATAAATGTAATAGTGCAAGGAATGCCTCGAGTCATCACAAATTCAATTAGTTTACAAAATAAAAAGTATACTCGATTTCAATATAAACTATTTAAATACTTACATCCAGCTTACATTGGAACTTAATTAAATCTACAGATCTGATTGTGTTGATAAAGTGTACAGAGATAAACTATATATAGGTACTTACGTATTTACTATGTACTACATAATACCTACAGGTGTATTGCAGCAAACATTGAGAAAAAAAAGATTTTGTTTTCTTTTATGTAGAAATTAAATACAGTATTAGGTACATATATCATTTCTGGTGCTTCTTTCAAATTAAAGACAAAACAGTTTCTTGTAGGATACCTAATATCTTCCAAAATACGAATAGACAGAGGATTATATTGTGCCGATTCCAATATTTTTCCCTATAATTTCGATAAGATAAAGGAAAAACAGAAAAACAAAAACAAACCGAAATGGTGCTATAAAGCAAAACATTATTAAGTATAAATGGATGGATGGCTAGTTGATACTCTTTCACAATAAATCTCCTGAACAAATTTCATTGAGATCCTGGAATGAAATTTGGCATAGGATAATATAGATTAAAGTCTATACACATAGGTTACTCTTACCCCTGCAGAACAAGGCTACTCTTACCCCTGTAGAACCAGGCTACACTTACTCCTGTAGAACCAAACTACTCATAATCCTGTAGAACCAAGCTACTCTTATCCCTGAGGAATTAAACTACTCTTAACGCTGTAGAACCAGGTTACTCTTATCCCTGTAGAACTAGGCTACTCTTACCCCTATAGAATCACGCTACTCTTATCCCTGTAGAACCAGGCTGCTCTTACCCCTATAGAACCATTATACTCTTACCCCTGTAGAACCTTGGTATTTCATAATTAAACGTGTATCAGTTTTAATATTTTCGATACCTTTTGAGCTTCCAAGCCAATCCACACCTGTCCATCCATCCAGGATCATTTTCCGCCGCCATGGCAGTGAATAAGGACTTCAAACCTCATTTATTAGCTCAATAATAGTACTCGGATTACAACAGTCTATACAAATGAGCCCCGAACACAAAAACAAATTAGTTTTGACTCAACAAAAAATGTTGATGATATAATTAAGTCTAACAAAAAACTGACTCATACGTGCTTAGCATTTAGTTCGAACTGTGATAGTAATAAGTGGTCGATAATTAAAAATATTGATAGACAAACTAATAGGGTGATGAAGATGTGACTTTTTTGCAAACCTTTCTAGCTATGTAGGAAAGCACTTCGATAAAAATGCCCATAACATAAGTACCTATCCTTTTTTAAGCCTGTTTTTTTTATTGACTTCTTACTCTAATAAATTAACTGACAAAGCTTCCATTTTTTATGTCTGATTACCTGATGGTAAACAATGACACCCGCAACACCAAAGGAGTTACGAATGCGTGGCTGGCCTTTTAGGGATAAAGGTTTCAGATATTTAAGGATTGGGAAGTGAGGGGGAGGTATTAGGCCTCCGGTATCCTCTCTCAGACGGCGGAACACAATGCTGTGTAGTTTCACAACGGTTTTCTGTAAGGCCGTGGTATCACTCTGGTCGAGCCGACCCATTCGTGCCGAAGCATGACTCTCCCACACTCCAACCCTTTTTTAAACGACTAATTCTCGTGAATTAACTGAGAAAAGCTTCAATGGTTTCAAGTCATAATTTTTTTGCTTTTTTATAAATTTTGTATGTCACTATATCTACTATTTTATTTAAGACTGATTTTACAAACGTCATTTGACTTCACTCTCTTATAATGGTGTTCATCAGTAAATAAAATGGGCAAAAATCCGAACTTTTTAAAGGTACTGGTGTACAAAATGTAGAATTATATTGTGTGTAATGCTTCGAAAATGCCTTATACTTAATAGATCTTTAAAAAAAAGCACGAATCATCCAAACTTCTTTTCAATCTTCGAATCTTAATAGATAAAAATGTATCGCAAAATGTGTTGGTAAGCCCATAACTGAACAACGCCTGGACCAATTTTATCAATTCTTTTTTGAAAGAAAATTGTAAAAAAATGGAGGGGAAAGTTGGGGAATTTTGTCATTAGCGAGATAGTTGAAGACCAAGACCAGTGCCAAGCAGAAGTTCTTAACTCATTCCCCCTATTTGAACCTAACTTACGGTACCTTTACGTTAGTTTATACTTACCCTTAATTAAACAATTTCAGGACTTTGAAACGTGCGTACTGAGCGGAGACCGTGAGTGCCGCTATATTGAGGGCCAGACACACGAGGGTATCGGAGACCACCGCCGGCAAACACTGTTCTTCTGCGGACATGACCCACAGTGCATGTATGTTTATGGAAACTTATTCATATTGTTCAAAATGGTTAAGTAGCTCGCTGCCCAAGCATGGTAAAGAAAAATATTAAAATTATTGGCATTATTTCATACTTACCTACTGTCAGTCTGCTGTGTGAACCTTGTCTTAAATGATCCTTCACAGTTGTTTTTTTATGAGTAGTTTTTGGTGCGATAGACGGTTTAAAGTGATATTTTCATTATATTATTCTCACCTATACTTTGATATATTCAAAATTTATTTAAAATTCTGTATTAGTGAGATTGTAAGAAAGATATTTTTTTAATAGTTGGGATTTACTGCTCGTTTTTCTCCATACGAATCTAGATTTTGGAACGAACACCTAGCTTCACTGATACAGACAATTCGCAAATTCCAGTTGAGTGTGAGTGATGAATAATGCTCATTCCTTCAAGGCTCCTCAAACTTCTTCACTGGAAATCAAGCAGCGAAGTAAATGTCCAATCATCTAAGAATGTACTACTTGTATACTCATGAAAGATGACTGTGCAAAATGCGCCTGCAACTGTATTTTCTGACTGGTCATGAATTGCTGATAGAATTCCACTAGGCACTTCTTTGAGTTTTTTTTAAACCTTATCGGTATATTTTTGTAGCTAAAGTGCTAATGCCGAAAAGGACTTACAGCGTAATTTGTACTAAATGTTGATTTCTTAAATTTCAGGCCATTCAACAGCGTGGAAGCTCTGCAGCGAGCTAAAAGGGTGGTGGAGGAGCAGTACGCGGTAGTCGGTGTTTTAGAAGACATGAACTCCACACTGCTGGCCTTCGAACGATACGTGCCCAGGTTCTTCCACGGAGCTCTTAAATTATACTGGGGTACGTTGCTATTTATTTATTTGACACTTCATGCGTAACCAAAATTATACACCGGGCGGACCTTTTTAAATACTTAATTAATTATAGATATCCTACTAAATTTAATAGGTACATTTTTAAGTCTTAATAACTATTAATCTTTGTATATCTAATTCATTAATTTATTTCTGATTGTATGGTAGACAACTCTTATAAAACTGATTTGCAATGAAGATTCAAAGTATTACGTCATTTGTGCCTCGAAAAAAACCAAGCTTTATTTATGACTTTTCATTCTGTCGGATGTCCAGTCAGATAACCAGCCCCCGATTTTATTATAGATTTTTGTGCAGTAGAATATATCTGCAAATGTTATTTTTAAAGCTGTGAGGTTTTGTACTAAGGTTTTGGTCTTCATTATTTATCGAAGCAGAAGATGCGCCTGATGTACTAATAGGAGCAATTGTGACTAAACGGACTTAAAGTTATATCATTCGATAAATCTGTAGAAGATAATTATCAATACATAGATACGATAATAAACTCTAATATTGGGCTCAGTTCCTATGTTTACTAGAAATTGACGATAACCCACATAGTAATCAGCTAAGCGATCATTGCAGTCAATCGATTTAAATCGACTGATGACCGATACTGATCAATGAAAGGCTATCTGATTAAAGATATATTTATTTGCACCTGAATTTATGTACGGGTTTTATTTTTTATGTGAATCAAACAGTTAATTACTTTTTTCATATAAATTACAGAGGAAATGAACACATTCACCCGAATCAACCGCAACTCCTTCAAGCCGCCAGTCTCCGAACAAGTGAAGCAAATAGTCCGAGCAAACTTCACCAGGGAGATAGAATTCTACGAGTTTTGCAAACAAAGGTTGCATATGCAGCTGAGGGCTCTCCGGGACCCAACAATCACCCTCCCAACACCCCGGAGGACGAGGAGGCGGAGAGCTCGTCTTATGAACAGAGCGTAACCATAGCAACCTGATGGGTATCCCATCGCTTCTAGACTGTGTTAGGTTAGAAGTCGTGTAACCGCCTCAAAGATAGCGTGACGTTTTTAAAACAGACTTTTAAACGCGAAATTTCATTTCGTATTTGCCCTTATTTAACTAACCCTCAAGCTAGGCCAATCATGCGACGTTTATGTCTGAGTGCCTGTTGATTTTGTTATGGCAATTTTGTATTTAAGCGTCTTTAAGATTTCCAGTGTTCTGTTATTGTAAACTATGCCAGTGCAATCAACATTTTTCTTTCTCTACTTATGTAAACTATTAAATTGTATTTATTTATGTGAATGTTAACACATTTGTATAAAGATTTTATAAAATCATTGTATAGTTTGCCAGTAAATTAATCAATCTTACGTAAAAATTGAACTCGATTAAATTATTATTTGCGTGGTTTTGTTGTTTATTGTTAAGTCGTGATCGACGCCATCTTGGCTATTGGCGCGAAATTGTGACTATTTATTGTAATTATTTAAGTGATGTCCATATTTTTTTTATTTTAAGCTAAGCATGAACCATTATAAGTACAGCTTCCTTTTTATATGATTTTGTATAGTCTAGGATAAATGTTAGCTTTATTATTAACGCTAGTTACTAATAAGTCGCACTGTAATTTAAAATATTCTTCGGAAAGCAGTACTAGACAGAGGAATGGTGTAATAAATCTGTCTACTTTATGATCTGTACCTAAACTACGTATTTATTACGAGATCAAAATAAATATTATTGTGATATAAAATTTTGCTTAATGATAAGATATACCGTAATTAAACTACTTAAAAATTTTGAAAATCTCTTTAATTTTGTTTCCCTGTCATCATAGTCTACACCATTGATTAGAAGTTTCCGCTGGTCCCAGTTGGGCGCCATTAACTATTATATTCGTTTTCGATCTGAGCCTTCTATCCTTCCAGTTTACCCCTATTAAAAGTCGGCCTTTCAAAAATATGTATTTTTGAAAGGCCGACAACGCGCCTGTGACGCCTCTGGTTTGCGGGTATCCACGGGATACGCTGTTCACTTACCTTTTCTTGTCCATCTGCCATTCCATAAAATAAAAAAAAAATTTTTTTTACTGTTGGACAGGATTGCAACTAACTTGAGTGTATTGTGTTGGCTTTACTAGGTACGTCTTCTTTAAAGATTCAGAAGAGGTTTTATTTTGAGAAACCTTTTACGACCCACCAAATTTAAGCAAGACTTACACTTTTTGGATTAATACACAGGTACCTTGCTGAATCCTATGATTTTAAGTGACTCATGCAATGCGTAAGCGTCGAATCATAAATCATGATTTCAGTTCATTGGCAACTCATCAACTATGTATGTACTTGTACTGCAATAATTTTGCAGTGTTGTCACCTGAAGCAGTATTCGAGGTTAACTATAGATGGCGCTGTTCTAAACACGAACATCTATTCAGATGTTTAGTTTCAGTTTGTTATTGTGTTTAAAAATAAACCAAATTTCGATAATTATGCACATTAATTTATTAGATAGGTATTTATTACAAAACAGAAGTCAATTAAAGAATAACAATAGTTCATAAGGGTAGCATTCAAACTGTGTAAAAATAATATGGCCACATTTTAAGAATTCAGGTACATATACAAAATAGACAAAACATCGGCCTAATAAATAAATTATCATATCGCTTAAAAGTAATAATAATTTAATTTAATAATTTCTAATAGTCTCATTTTATTAAAATCTCATAACTGAATTAACAATTGGCTATTAATTATCAGTTCTCACGTAGGAAGTATGTCATGACACCGTGATTATAAAAATATAAAATATATTCAGATAATAACATCGGTATAAAACATTTCACAGTTACAATATTCGTTATTCGCATAATTAGGATTCACAATTTGAAACATTTTCGTAACTACATCAACAATTGAATAATTTTACAAATTTCTAATAAAGGAAGATATTATGTCACCACAGATATTAAAACTACGGATATTCGCATTATCATAATGACGTTATGTGAATAAAATCTTTCAATCTAGGTGATACTCCTAACTCAACATTTATAACTATTACAAAGGTCTAATAGTGTCATAAAAATTGTATTAAAATATTAATTAATATCATTCAGAATTCATCTCTCTATTTACAAGGAGAACGGTACGGCTGGGTTACCAGCTCGGACCTGCACGCACATTCATCACATTTTATTGTCCTACGGGACGCTAATCTACAATTAACATAGTAAGAAACAAAAATTGATGAATTATACATACATAACTCGAAACATTATTTACTGCAAAATGGCACTCTGAGAACGAGTGGTACACTCGTCGTTTACAATATCTACGCCTAATCTAAATCATATCACAAGTACGCTTTACAACGTGAAGCCTCATCAATCCAGGAGCCCAGGACGCCCGCGCTGCCTATCCCGCGGGGCGCCGCGGGCAGCAGGCACAGGAATGTTCTAGCTCGCGCCGGCGAGCCCACCGCGCCCTCCGCGCACTCCGAGCCACCTGCGACTCCCGCGCACTCGTCACTCCAACACTGTCACCTCTCGGCCTTGCACAGCCGCATCAGTAGAATGAAGGATGCCAGTCGACCGTAGGATGCAGTGGCGCCGAGGTACCTGAAGCATTCGCTGGCGTTACCGCGCCTAGTGCGAGACAGTCGAAGCAGTAGTTAGCACCGCTATTACTGTCCCAGAACTGTTGGCCCTTGCATAAGAATCTTACGGCTAACTCCAATCTCTGTCCTGAAGATATAGCGGGAGCATACAGTACAAATTGGAAGCGATCAGAGAAGCCGTCACAAGAACCTTGCACGTAGGTTGCCTGCAAATCCGTGTATGTTTTCCATCTGTTCATAGTGTAGCGTATGTGAACAGTCTTGTGGAAGTCCAAATTTCGTACTCGTACAGAGCCACACACGGTGACATGAACACCGTCACACACGCGAGCGCTTTCAAGGCACACGTTTTGAGTTTCTAATTTATCCGTAATATCTACTGGAAGTTGGAACAGCGGTACCAATGTTAGAGCTCCAAGTCGCGGTGCAGGTCGTGCGGGTGGAGTGCTCTGCACGTCGCAACCAGTAAGATCGTCGTAGGCAGATTTAGGCACAACAGGTATTTCATCCATAAAAGTTTTAACATCCGCTAGATCCAGGCCTAAAACGTCTGCAAAACGTACAATTTTCTTTCGACCAGGAGTGCCGGGTGGCGTTTTTCCTGTTTTGAGTGACGAGCAGCGCCTAACGCGTTGAGGTCGGTCGTCTTCTGCTTCGACTTCAGTTTCGTTGTGGTTTTCATCATTTACTTCTGCATTTAAAAGGGACGGCTCAATTTCAGGTGCTGGCGATATTTCTTTGTCGACAGAAACTTCACTGGTTATTATTTTTAAAGGTTCTCGACTGATTTCATTGCATTTAACTATTCCGTTAGTTTCTTCTGTTGGGGTTTCATCATCAAGGGGGATTTCAACTTCGGCCAGTGATAAATTTTCCAGACATTCCGTTGCATGAGTTTCATCACTTTTTTCATTTTGTAATTCTTCTGTTTCAACACCATCAGACGGTTCACTTTTTGCTGATTCAAATTCTGAGTCACTGTCAGCTGTGGCACTTGGCAAATTAGTTAAACTAATAGAGTCCGTATGTAAGGCAGCGATCGGTTTTGGGGCACAGTCGATTTCGTCGATACTATTTTGTGGTGCACAACCCTCAAATGTAATTGCAGAATATAATCGTTTGTTAACGTGACCATTTTCACGCGAGATTGGTTGAAGTTTTACTGGTGGAGTACACTCTGTGTAAAAAGCTGTAGAAAATATGAATCCATTTTGTGTTTTATCTGGTTGTTGTAGTAAAAACTTGGCTTGTTCTTTAGCTAATTCAGGCTCAGAATCGACATCGTAAAATGGTGGTTCTTGTTCTTCGGTGGGAGATCTTTCTGGGAAGGCAGGCTCGTAGTCATCGACGGGGCTAGACGGACTCTCACACTCTAACTCGAAATCGTAGAAAGTGTCGAGATCTCGTGTGTTGGTGGAGGTTGTGGGCCTGTGCTGTGCGGTGGCGTCGCGAGTGAGCCAGCTGTTCTCGCAGTGGTCGTCGTGCGCGCCGCCTAGATTGCTGAGGCGCGAGTGCAAGTCGCGCGCGAACGCCGCGGCGCGTCGGCCGCACGACATCGGCAGCAGCGAGGTCAGTCCACACTGCGACCCTGCGCGATCTCCGCTCATCTGCGTCTGTAACATACCACATCCACTGTTACAAATTGAACCGTTTGTGGACATCGTATCTCGGTTATTTATAAATTAAAGGTGACCTAGATGGTTATTTTATTCATTTTGGCACAAACAAACATCGTAAGTAAGTGTAGTAACAGCTGCATCGGAATTCTGATATTTAAAAACATTCCACCAATTATAGAATAAAAAATTAAATAATCGTCGTAATGAAACGTAATTTGCAATAGCAATTTAAGAGTTTTTCTAGACTGCTTTTTTGGGTTTCATGTGATTTTGACATTTGACTCAAAGGCAGATTTAGTATTAATCTTGTGAAAAACTTTGTGGTCATCAGCTATTTATTCCCTCTTTATCGTAACATGAAAGTTGAATGTCAAATGTGAACGGCCTCGATAAGATAAGGGACTACTTATTGCTTCTCTGTGGTCAGTGGGACCCACGGACACATGGACGGACATGAACAATTTGAACAGCGTTGCCAGTGTATGAAAGGAAGATCGCTACTAGGTATCTAATTGAATATTAACAACCAATTACAATATACCATTCATCAACAATAACTACTGTAATAAAGTACATTTGCTTACAATTCTTATATTAGCTACTGACGAATATGCAATTAAAGACTTGATGTAGAATTTAACAAAAACATTTGAATCCAATATAAAATCCCTCGATTAATCTAACCCTAATTCTAATATTATTTCATTCAAATTCATTTCTTATTAAAACTAATATTCATAATAAATCCATCAATAGAGTAGGCAAATAAATATTTACACTGGCCTAAAGATTAATAAAAGTTGCAAGTCAGATTTAGCTCAACTCAAGGAAAATGTCACTTTCAGGTGTGTGCTATTCACAACATTGTGAAGGTCAGTGCCCGACCCATTTTTGAGACACCGCTGTGTGTCGCTCAGCCTTGAACTCGATGTCACAGCCAGTTCTCGTGACACAC